TATATATATATATGTGTGTGTATATATATATATATATATATATATATATATTCTTGCATGTATATGTGTTTCTGTTGGTATATTCGTACGTGGTTCATTTCTGTACTTGTTGTGGCAATGTGCACTTCGCCAGTGCAAGTGCTTGCCAGAAAGTTGCCGCTTTTTCCCATATATATATGTATATATGTATGTGTGTGTGTACATATGTATTTATGTACGTGTTTAAAAGTATGTATATATTTGTATATGTATATATATATATATGTGTGTGTGTGTGTGTGTGACAATATAAATAATATTTGGTTTCTACCTCTTCTCAGTCGACGCTTATAATGATCAATACTTACGCGTTCTTCGATCTCACAGGACCGCTACGGGTGAGCAGGAGTCCCGTCCCGGTTTTGGTGTGGAGGAAGAAGCGGATCCGTACGGAGAGTTCTATCCGGATGCTATGGGCAGTAGGTATGTACCCACTATGCCAAAGCATACTGCTTTACCATTACATTAATACACATCTGAGTGACATAGTATTTGCTGAGTTTCGATACAATGCGCCGATATATGTTGGTGTGCCTAAATACGTATATGATACCGCAAGTTTATATATATATGTAAGTAGGTAGGTAGATAGATGGATGGATGGATAGATAGATATACTTATACGTATGTATGTATTTAATATATATATATATATATATAGTGTTGTAGCTTGTCAATAGCTGGATATGTGTCTGGTGTTCTGTCACACGGTTGTTGTTATTCTACCATAAGTACGTTCAGATAAAGTTCAGATTCTGTAGCTAAGCTCTCAATGGTCTTCTGAGATAGTTTTAGTGAAGGTTTCTACAACAGAGGTGGAACCATCATATAAATACACAAGGTACTATACATGCTACACGAACAAGACTTCTATGAAGTACCTGGGTGTGAGACGGACTTACCATACCTACATCCATACATTTAAAAGAGAGAGGGTATATCAGTAGTACACGCTCCTTCCCCATGTACACCCGGACCCCCTTTCGCCATACCATACTAACACACAGAACCCCTCAACTCAGTGCTCTTGCATACGATAGCGAAGACGATGAGAAGAGTGAGTTGGCGTTCAGTCGCATGGACAAGGGTACTGCGGGTAATAAGGGTTTGGTGAGTAGGTATGATTTCGACGATGACGAAGCGTACGAGAAAGCTAAGTCGGAGCAGGAGGCGCTACCAAAGTATGTCAGCGGCCGTGTGTGACTGTGTGGAGGGGGGTGCGTGTGGGCACGCCTTGAGAATACACATATTCTTGTATTTGTATTTATATTTGTATGGTTTATGGTTTATGTTGAGCGAGGTTTATTTTATGTGTAATTATAATTTATGTGTGTGTGTGTATATAGTATGGTTTATGTTGAGCGAGGTTGATTTCGTGTGTACATACATATATGTGTGTATAGTATGGTTAACGTTGAGTGAGGTTTATTTTTTATGTAAATGTGTGTGTATAGTACGGTGTATATTGAGTGAGGTTTATTATATGTGTATATACATGAGTGTGTGTGGTGTGGTTTGATACTTATATACGTCTATTATTCGTTGTATGAGATGTGATCACCTCAATTCAATAACCCGTTCGATGATGGCACGTACGTGAACGCAAATCTCGGAACGTTGCGCCGCTTCCATACTGTACCCTACCGTCATGTGTGTACAACGGATGTTTGTGACGGTGTTCTGTCACCAGTAAAGGTAACCTAATGATATCAATCCCCGATTTCAGGGTTTATTCCTCGACTTCAACCCTAAAACCCTAGACCTCTTAAACCCAGCATATTAGCTGGTGAATGGTCATGCACAAGACATGCAGCAGCCGCCGTCATTGTTTTCTGCGTCTTCTGAATAGTATGATTCTCGTTTCTAAAAGAACACTGACACGCACGACAATGTGGCTAGCTCTGAATCTCGGTGACCATGCACACACAAGGATTAGGCTTCTACAGATACACACCCTCATATTTGTGTATATTGACGGGCCTCGTACAAACTATCAAGAGATCGTTTGATCCCATATAAAAGGTTTACATTCTTACGCATAGCTCAGCTTGCCTTTAAGCATGCTGAGTTGCTTGCACCTGAGCGTGTGTCTGTACAAACCAATTCGTGTACCTAGCCTACGAGGCAGTTGTAACATGCTGAGTCTCCGGTTGGCCAACGTTCTGTACATCTCTGCAAGCTCAGATAATATCCCTACAATTCTAAACTCAGCCTGTTGTTGTTAACGTTTATTGAATCTCTGCAAGCTTAGACAATATGCCTACAATCCTACACTCAACCTGTTGTTGTTAACGTTTATTGAATCTCTGCAAGCACAGATAATATCCCTACAATCCTAAACCCACCCTGTTGTTGTTAACGTCTATCGAATCTCTGCAAGCTCAGATAATATCCTTACAATCCTAAACCCAACCTGTTGTTAACTTTTCTTGAATCTCTGCATCGCCCCATTCGTTCCCATTCAGAGCGGCGTTCCAATTCGGGCGCAAAATGGCTGACGGCAGAGCCACCCGACGACACAAGGGCAGTTCAACCAAGATCAGCAAAGACAAGAAGATCGACCGAGATCTCAATATGATCAACCAGATCATGAAGAACAAGCGCAAGGAATCTACGGAGGAAGGGTGAGTGCATGGAGGTGGATGGATATATGTACATGTGTGAAAGGAAGGGGGGGTGGTGGGCTAGGTATAGGTGAAAGGTTGGGTGGTGGGCTATATGTAGATATGCACTTGTGTGAAGAAAGGGTGAATAATGGGTTATATAAATATATATATATTAGCGAAAGGGTGGGTGATTGGCTATATATAGATATACACATGCGTGTATGGACGGGTGAGTGTTAGGCTATGTATAGATATAAACATATGTATCTAAATTGTCATGCGCAAGCTGGTGAGATATTGTGTGATTATAAAGCCAGCCCCTCTCATACACTGACCGTACCAGTGGTACAACCCCCACATTCTGTTCACACAAGACACTCATAATCACAGTGGACTTATCTGGCCGTACTCAATGGCTTATAATAACAAATGAAGATGTTCACACACGTGTTTGTCAATAGTATATACTAACAAATGGAAGTTAACGTTCACACACGTGTTTGTCAATAGTATATACTAACAAATGGAAATTAACGTTTGCACACGTGTTTGTCAATAGTAAATACTAGCAAATGGAAGTTAACGTTTACACACGTGGTTGTCATAATCACAGTGGACTTATCTGGCCGTACTCATTGGCATATAAATTCAAATGAAATTAACGTTTACACACGCGGTTGTCATTCATCAGGGGTACGCATAAGAAGTACAACCGAGGCAAGAACAATTAACTGCCTTCTATAATAACAAATGAAATTAACGTTTACACAAGCGGTTGTCACTCATCAGGGGTACGCATAAGAAGTACAAACGAGGCAAGAACAATTAACTGCCTTCTATAATAACAAATGAAATTAACGTTTACACACGCGTTTGTCACCCATCAGGGGAACACACAAGAAGTACAAACGAGGCAAGAACAATTAACTGCCAGCTCTTCTGGAGAGGTGGCGCTGACCACCGATGCGAGATGTGCCTTCGCCTGCAAAACCGTATGAGCTGATCCGAAAATAGACCTGGCGCTTGTGTGGCTTGGCCGCATGGTGCACCGCCCCGGTTTGTTTGCGGCGTCGGATAACGGGACGAGGGCGCTGGTGCACCAAACTCTGCGCAGCTCATCCGGACACCACAGGTCACAGATGGCACGGGAGAACACTGAGTAGACGAACACATAGGGCATTGGGGTACAGTGTAGCTCAGGGGCTGTGGGTATTAGAGGCGTGTCGCACGTGCGTAGCCCATCCACAGCCGTGGCTCTTGAGACACGGGCGCCTTCGTGTATCTCGGTACGGTATACGGTTTATAGTATGGGTACATGGTTTTATAGTATGAAGCTGTCTACGTAAGTCGGTTATATAGTATGAAGCTGTCTACGTAAGCCGGTTATATAGTATGAAGCTGTCTACGTAAGTCGGTTATATAGTATGAAGCTGTCTACGTAATCGGTTATAGTATGAGACTGTCTACGTAAGTCGGTTATATAGTATGAAGCTGTCTACG